GGGTAATAGGCAAGTTACCCCTCCCCCCCTTACAAGTGGGGGGCTTACAACCACGCCGGAGGGGGGGTTAGTGAGGGACGACCAACCGGTTGAACAGAGGCTGCGGTGGGAACCCAGCCAACCAGGGTGGCAATGGGGGGCAACCAGGCGGCCAGGGGGGGGACCAAGGTTTGATAAGGCCGGTGGGGGGGGGGAAGTTAGGAGCACCAGCTGCCAGGGAGGGGGCAGTTGGGGGCGACCAGGCTGGCAGGGGGGGAGTTAGGGGTGATCCAGCCGGCACACAGAGGCAGTGAGGGGCAATCAGACCGGCGGGGGGAGGGGCAGTTAGGGGCAACCAGGCAGGCAGGCAGGTGAGCAATTAGGAGCCAGCGGTCCAGGATTGTGAAAGGGATGTTCGACTGCCAGTTTAGGCCTGATCCCTGGAATCGGGCCTAAACCGGCAGTCAGACATCCCCCAAGGGGTCCCAGATTGGAGAGGGTGCAGGCTGGGCTGAGGGGACCCCACATCGTGCACGAATTTCGTGCACTGGGCCTCTAGTAATTATATAACTGTGGATCTAGGCACAGATACCTATATGGAAGAATTAAGTGGGAGTTCTGAATTCATGTCTTCTGCCAATTAAAAAAATAACACTTTGTGTTCATTGTAATTCTGGTTTATTTTCTCTTTTACAGATCTATCTGATCATGACAGAATGCTGGAATAATAATGTAAATCAACGTCCATCTTTCAGAAACCTAGCTCTTCGAGTTGATCAAATAAGGGACAACATAGCTGGATGAACAAAATGAACTTCACTCTGAGGCCAAAATAAAGTTAGAGAACAAAGTTTTGTATTTCACATTGCTGTGGACTATTACTACATATATCATTGTTATGTATATCATGATGCTAGCCACAAGGATGTGGAAATATCTGCTCAAAACTTTCAAAGTACAGTGGGGCCTGACTTACGAGTTCAATTCGTTCTATGATGGAGCTCGTAACTCAAATTACTCGTATGTCAAATCATTGTGATGTTCGCTGCGCCAACTAGCGGTGGGGTATCTGAAGCTGGCTCGTAACCCGAATTTTAGCTCGCAACTCAAAGCAAAAAATCGGCCGAGAGACGGCTCGTATCTCAAAAAACTCGTTAGTCGGGACACTCGTAAGTCAAGGCCCCACTGTATAGTGAGTTTTTCTTTATGGGGACACCAGTAAAAGAAATGGATGAAAAGTTCTTAGTAAAGAATTTTGTAAAAAGTTTCATGAACTTAGTCAATTAACATCACTTTTCTTTGGCAAAAGAAAAAAATAGATGTTTTTTAACTCAGAATTTTGAGAGATGAAAAAATTGTAATATAAATTTTACAATGTTAAAGAAGCACAGAATACATATGTACAGTTTTTACCACAGTGAATGTATAATACCTTGGCATCTTGTGTGATCTTTTACACAAGGGCTGGTTCATTAATGATGTTTTCTAATTTTTCCATAGTTGATCTAAAATAACTTCACTATACAAACAAATTAAGATGCTCAAATAATTGAGTAAGCACTTTTGTGTTCTTGTTCATCTATATCACTGGCCAGCAATATAAGCAGGTGTACACTTTTTGCTTATCATTCTATGTACTGTAAATATTTTTCAAAGAAAAGGGAACAAATGTTTAGTTTTATTTGTATAGGGATTTCCCTAACTATAAAGAATACATTTTGAAATGGAACAAGTTTACAAAGCTGTAACACAATCTATTTTCTTATTTGTCTCCCTTGTATCTATTTGTGATGAGTATGTTGTTATTTTTTTTAAATAGATCTCTAAATTTTTCTAAGACTGGTAAATAGTTTTCTTTTAAAATTTTGAGATTACGAATGCAGGATTATTGTCATCCCTTGAGCTATTGGCTGTCAGTATGATTCTTGAATCCTTGGGACCTATCATCATGCATTAAATTTAACCTATTAAGATTCATAGTATGGGTTAGGGATGTTTTTTTAAGACTGTATTTTAGGGGTTTCAGAAATCTCTTGTAGTCTCAGAATAAATATTCTCTTAGAAAATTTAGAAAGTCTTATATTCAAAGGAGAAATGAGAGGAAATTGGTAAAAAAAAAGTATGCTTGTTATTTTATTCCAGAATGCCAGTAGAAAATTCATAATATTCCTCCAAGAAAAATGAGAGTATACTTATTTTCAGTGAAGTATAATGGGTTGTTCATTGTCATCATTTGTTTTAGTGCTACTCCATTTTATACACCGTACATAATATGAGGCGGTATTTATTGTTATTTATAAAAAGTTTAAAATACTTAGTATTTGGGTTAAAAAGAAAATAATTTCTTACTCTAGTTTCAGTGGTATGTGCTATTTTTTTAAACAGACTTTTAATTATTTTTCTGATTATTTTTTGGAGCTAGTTTTAAAGTGCAAATTCTGTAAGAAAAAATTCTTCACATGTAAAGTTTGAGATTCTTTTGGTTAGAAGGAAGGAAAGAGGAGAAATTCTTTTTACATGATCTTTGAAATATTTTAGTGGTTGCCGAATGAAAAAAATCATTTAAAATTTTAAAAGTTTTCTAGTAGATATTTTGATGAAAGTTGAATATAATTTTTATTTAATTTGTAAAGACTCTTCAAGATCTGTAAATACAGTGCAATTAAAGATCTCCATTTTCCTACTTTTCAAGTCAAAAGTATGTTGATGTGCTTGATTTCAGATTTTTGTATTAAAACTTAAGTTCTGAAAGGTAGAATTTTAAAGGTCTAAAACATTTTGTTTGTTTTTATTTATTTTATTATTATTATTATTTTCTATTGATTTCAGAGAGGAAGGGAGAGGGAGAGGGAGAGAGAGATGGAAGCATCAATGAGAGAGAATCATTGATCAGCTGCCTCCTACATGTCCCCTACTGGTGATCAAGTCTGCAATCCTGGGCATGTGCCCCTGACTGGAATCGAACCCAGAATGCTTCAGTCCACAGGACAGTGCTCTATCCACTGAGCCAAACCAGAGAGGGCCATTTTGTTTGTTTTTAAAAACAAGGATGTTAACTAAATTTTTTTAAACGTTTTTAATGTTTCAGTTTTTAGTTGTAGAGAAGAAATACTTTATAAGCATTTTTAAGTATTTAGAGTTGATGACTACTTTATTGTAAAATGTTAAGTTTTCAAGAGAATTATTATTCATTAAGGATTAGTAGTGTTTTAAATTTTGATTTTGACTATACATGAAAATAAATTGAACCTGTAGCTGTTTAGTTGTTTCTGCACAAGAAATAGGTAATTACTGTTCTAGTTAATGCCAAAATGTTTCTTCAAGTTAATATTCTTCAGAAATGAGGATAAAGATTTTTTTAGAATTCTGTAATTCTGTAAATATTCTGGTATAGTAAATTATACAGTCTTTATATAAATAATTCCTTATATCCATGGCTACCTGCTTTGGGACACAGTCACTTTTTTATGTTATTTATACATGTGCTGCCAGTACACTGTAATTTGCTGTGAAGGAGTGCTTTCTTACAACCCAAGACTTCTGCTATAAAGTCAAGTGAAATTTTTGTCACAACTATAACTTCTGATATTTCAACTTTATTTAAACAATTTTATTATGGAGTAGACATTAGAAAATACCCATAGTTCTATACCTGGGAGCCATTCTCCATGGGGTGGTGTTATATGGCCAGTTTATGAAGATGTGTTATTTTTTTCATTGTGCCTTTAGCATGTTCCCAAAAATTGAAATATTGATGTAATAAATATTCAGAAGTTATTTTCTTTTTTATTGTCTTTTAAATACCCCCACCAAGGAAGTGGGGGTATACACATTGGTTCAGGGATGTGCAGAGAAAGCCTTTTATAACAGTAAACTTACCTTTAGATTTTTTTTTAAAGAAATGCTTCCTAAGATTATGCTGCATGTTATTATGAACATTACTGTATCCACTGTAGTTCTTGTATTTAAATGATTTCTAATGAAAGTTTCTCTAGTTTTCCAGTATTACTTACTAAAGCTCTTTCACTTTGCTATCCCATATAATAAAACCCTAATATGCAAATCGACTGAACAACCTGTCGATATGACCAGCACTGACCACTAGGGGGCAGACGCTCAATGCAGGAGCTGCCCCCTGGTGGTCAGTGCACTCCCACAGGGGGAGTGCCGCTCAGCCAGAAGCTGGGCTCCCAGCTGGCGAGCACAGCGGCAGTATCAAGAGCCTCTCCCGCCTCCACTGCAGGTGGGTGGTAAGGGAGCGAGGGGTCCCAGACTGCGAGAGGGCGCAGGCCGGGCTGAGGGACACCACCCCCCACCCCCGGCATGAATTTCGTGCACCAGGCCTCTAGTATCAGAATAAATAATAAGAAGAATAAAGATGCCAGCAGGATTACCCAAGCAAAAGACTAGATTATATGAGATAAGCTTCATTTTATTTAAGAAAAACATCTGAGTATGAATATCAGAAATTTTATGTTTTCTCCCAGGTTTGGGTTGGTTGTAATTAATTTCAAGGTAACTAGATGCTAAGTGTTTCATGATGCTGATAGTAACATTAGAGAGATTTCAGAATGACACTGAGAGAAGAGAATTTAAAAATTTTCACATTAGTCAAATTTATAGTCAAGCCTTTAACTTTTCATATGAATCAAATTTCATATGAGTAAAATGTGCATTATGTACCTAATTATTAAAATATTTAATGTTTTTACTTTCTTGCAATATGTCGTTTTTTTAGGTTAAGAAATTAATTTATATTGTGCTTCTGCCAGATAGCATTGCTTAATTGGTGCAGGCCCTAAATATGGTTCATTCTTTTTCAGTCTTACAAATGTATAAAGAAAAGCCTTGTCTCCAGTGAAGCACCAATCTTTATTAATACAGTTTTAAAACTTGTTAATGATTTGCTTTGTGTGTTGGTCTCAGCCTATCAGTAACTAACGTTGTGCTTAGACTGGTCCCATGGTTCTTATTATGATTGCCATTTAGCAATAACCATCATTGTTGGGATGGAAGGATGGGAGAGGGAGGGGGTGGGAGAAAGACGAGCGAGGCAGAGAGGGAACATGCATTGGCCTGAGGCTTTCAAGTGTTGGGGCTCGAGCTTTCATGGGCTCATGGGCCCACTCTAAAACATAAGAGCAGGAATTTAAAGCATGGGAAGAAAAGAAAACAAGTGGCCCAAATGCTCATTTATTGAAATTAACCAAGATCTTTAAAGCAAAAGAGCCTTGGTGGAGACAGGCCATAGTACTGTGGCTGCAGTGTGTTTATTGGAGATAATCTTCTTTGAAGTGGATGTCTCAGCAAGCAAAGCTTGAGTCATACATTTAAAAGGAGAAAACTCAACTGTCAGGACTTATACTATATAAACAATCCATTATAAGGTCTTTCTATGCATAGCAGTTGTTTAACATCTTATTTTTGAACATAACTATAACGAATTTATAAAACGAGAGGGTTAAAAGATCTCAGAATCCTTGTTCCAATTGTCCATATTCTTAGGTTTTGTGAATAGTTTTGTTTTTAATAACTGTAGTAGGAAGCACTCCTATAAATGATATTTATCAGGGTCAAGTAAGTCAGCTTTGAGTAGTGTGAATAGACAGAAACATAGATTTTAGATCTGACTTGATAAATAACATTAATAGTGCAGGATGGTAAGGAAAAGATTGTGTTCAAACAAACAAGCAAACAAAAGAACTTTCACAGCCAAAAGCTTTAAGGTTTATTGAACCCTAGCCAGAAAAGGACCAGATCCTGAGGCAGAAGTCTAGACCACATCAGCAGAACTACATAGAAAAGATACACATGTCTGCCATTATGGCGTTGACGGGCACTTTTATACATTATGTTTTGAAGAAGAAAGATGTTTTGGAAGAATTTACATTGGTTACAGATAACAGGTGTGGGAAAAGGTGATGTAGAGGCAGTTTTATGGTAGGTGCCCAGTTGGTAGGAAGAAATATTTACTACTTTTTGATTGATTACGGGCAACAGTTCTGAAAGTTCATGCATATATGCAGGATGTGGCGGTGTCTAGTGGTTGGCTAATAAACTCCTGAAGGTTGATTTAAAGTTCCAACATGCATTCAGGAGTGTGAGTAGACTTTTGTTAGTTGGCCACAACTGTGTTAACTTAAAAAGGGACCTGGCCAATGTGGTCTGTTGGAGTGTCGTCCCGTGCACCAAAAGAAGGCTGTGGGTTTGATTCCCAGTTGGGGTACATATTTAGGTTACAGGTTCGATTCTTACTCGGGGTGTGTGGGAAGCAGCCGATCCATGTCCATGTTTCTTGCATCAATGTTTCTCTCTCTCTCTCTCTCTCTCTCTCTCTCAATCAAATTAAAATTAAAAAGCCTTTCAAAGTGAGAGGTAACAAGTATTTCTTTAAAATCAGTAAAAATGGGCATTTGGGATGCACTGATTCAGGTAGAAGCCCAAATAGTGTTTCAGTTAGGAGACAAAGCAGTGAGTATTCATGAGAAAGAGAAGGAGGACGATTACATTAATAGAAGGAAGGCATTTCTACTGGTGCATATAATAATGATATTAATTTTAAACAGCGTTTTAAATTTAATTTGGAGTTTGGTGGTCAGTCCATTAGTCATAAGAACTGCTTTCTTGTTATCTTTGTAAAGAATTCTTAGGGACACAATGTTTGCCTAATCCCAGTCTAAAGGTTCTTTTGCCTTATTTTAACATTCCAAAGATTTCAGGCAGTTCTTCTGGCAGAGCAGCTCCATATTAAAGTGGCTCTGTTTATATTATTGTTTACATTTTCCCACTTTTCAAGATTTTTTCTTGAAAGCATTGCTGATCAATTATTGGAAAGCAGTACTGATCAGTTATGAAAGCATCCTTCATCCTCCATTGTCAGGTGGCTCATTTTGTTGTCATCCCATTGTTAGTCCCTCACAGCTGGGGAGGCTCATTCCTGGGATATTATATAGAAGGGAAAGTGGTTTTTTAGCAGCCTTCGGCCACATTTGAGCAACAAGAGTGCCAGGATAGGAAAGGCTTTTAGCGTCATGTTTTTTTTAGATATCTTCTATGGTTTCTTCAGATTTTTCATATTAAGTCTCATAGGACTTAATGATCATCTTAAAATGTTGAGCAACTAGTATTATTAGAGTGGTGTCTTTATAACACTAAGCTATGCAAAACAAAGATGACAGCAAAGATTTTTATAATAACAAAATGCCAAGTTCATTTTAAAAAATAGATCTGTTCCAGAAGGCTATATCTGAAGATATTAAAGAACCATGAGGTGTAAGTAAGCACTATGCAGCACCTACTTGAGTGTTTATATTATTGTTTACAGCTGTTAGTGTAGATAGCTAGATATTGAGGAAGCAAAGGGAAGCAGACATTATTAAGCATGATCAAATGGGAAGCATGACCCTGCTTACTTCACCAGGAAGTTGTAGCTTCACACCACCACCGCCCACCCTCAGGGAACCACCGGTCTGTTCCTCACAGATCACTGGAGGAAGAGATAAAACACTAAAGAGGGAGGTAAGCACATGTGCAGTCGAAGTCCAAATGGCCCAGGGGAAGGCGCTTCTATGAGGCATGCATAGTAGGAGCCAAAATAGCAACCATAGCCTGCCAATCTAACCTGGGGAAAGAAAGAAAGGATTGGTTGGGAGGTGGACCCATCAGAAGCTCGAGAAAGTTTGGGAAGTTGATTGGTTATTTCAGAAAAGCTCCTGGTCCAAGACTGAGATAATATAACCCCAGGGAGCAGAGTTC